GTATCGTAAGGTAGGAGCTGGAGACTTTTCCTGAGAGGGTCAGACGGTAAATGTTTCAGGCTTTTTGGGGCCACACGTTTTCTACACAAGGACTCAASTCTGCCATTGAAGCCCCAAAGCAGCCACAGACAATAACTGAATAGATGGGCCGTGCGCCAGTGAAACCGCGTGCCAACCCAGGTGGTGGGCTGGGGGGCCTGGGGCGGCAGTTGCTGACCTTGGCTCTTAAGGCGTATTTGCCTTTAATAATCGGCAAAGTAATCTGTTTTTAATCCAGAGCTACATATATACACCATTTGTGATTAAAAAAAGGAATTTGCTCATAAGAGCCATGAAAAAAAATTGGGTGTCAATGCTGGTGTGATTTCAATGAATGTGAAGGAAAGTTTCCGCTGATGGAGGCTCCCTTCACGTGGTTGCAGGCCCTTCAGAGAGAAACACAGGCCAAACTCAAGAACAGTGTCCACAAAGTTCTGGAGGAATAAAGAGAAGAGATCTGCCCGAGTCTTCAACACGTCTGCACTTTGCCCTCTCGTGGTCTGGGCTCATGGCTCTGCTTATCTGCCAAAGCGCAGTTCATGAAAGAGATGCTAGAGCGAAGGTTCCCTGGCTCAATGTTTGCCATGTTGCTCAATGTTTATTAACCCTGAACTGATGGTGTGTGTTTTGGCTTTAGTTCCAAGGAAAGGTCTGACTCCCCTAACTAATGGATGGCTTCCTCTTATYGGGTGCCAAGGGTTCTGTGCGATTCAGCATGTTGTCTTGGTGACCTGTGAGGTCAGCGCCAGGCTCAAGGCTCAGCCATCACCAAGCTTTCCATCGACCTGTGAGACGCACTTTTCCTTCTCTTCACTGATTCCTACTTTTTCATAGGATCCTTTACAGTAAATTCCTTTAAATGCCTTTTAAAATTTTGTTCTTTTAAAATATACTCGAATGCTTTCTTGATTTACCTGAAATATAAACTAAACATTGTAAATAAAATTAATCTGATCATATCTGCAAGGGGAGAGTACTGTTGTCCATGAAGAGGTCCCCCAAACTAACATGGATAGTATAATAAACAGCATTAAATATTGATAAGCCCTTCATCAGATTTTTGTGAAAAAGCATATTCTGGACTGAGAACAGGATCTTCAGTTGAAAGTCCAACAAACCTGGGCTGCGATTTGAGCTCCATCTCAAGCCCAGCTGTGTGGTCTTGGGCAGGTTTTATAACTGCTCTAAGTCTTAGTTTTATCATCTGTAAATGGGTAGAATAGCTGTCCCTACCTGGAATTGTGGTGAGAGTTAAATAAAGCAATACATAAGCTGTGCACACAGCACAGTTTCTGGTCTGTGGGAAATACTCTAGCTAGCTGTCATGGAATGCTCTTTTTTGAACATTTTTGCAGCAGKTTTGCTGTCAAATGCAGGGGATGGGCTGTTGGTTTAGCTTTCAATTTGAGGCTCAAGGTCTCTCTGAGCATCGTGTGCTTTTCTGTATGTCCTCTCATTGTTTCCTCCAGCATTTTTGAGCATGACCTAGTATCTGAGAACTTTGGTACCAAAAAGAGCCCGCGTAGGAACATGGTCAAGTGCGCTGTGCAGGAGCTGTAAGTGTTGACCACAGTTTACGTTTTTCAGTTATTTAAGCCAGCGAGCTGCTTTCCGCTTGTGTAATTTCTACCATTTCCTCCCCAAGGCTCGTGACCCTAACTACCTGGGGATCAGTGGTATTTTATGGTACTTTTTGGAGCCTGGTGAACTTGAGGAGAAGGTGGAATGGGAAAGAGATTTCATGCCACKATCTTGTTTTATGTATAGACCTAATTCTCCTAATTCCCCACAGTTACCCCACTAACTGGTTCCTCCTGACTCTAACATTTAGAATATGATGATATTTCCTTTTAGTCTTGGTTTTCTTTAAGAGGCACTGACTGACAAGATGATAGAGCCACAAACCTGGGCTGTGATTTGAGCTCCATCTCAAGCCCTGCTGTGTGGTCTTGGGCATAGATCAGAACCACTAAATGTGGAAAAACAGGGCCGTGACGATGGCCAGAAGCCCCATCATGGTCAGCAGGAGGGAGGCGGGGAGAGGGGATGAGGCCTTCAGAGACCGGGTCTTCAGGGGCTTCAGGATCCTTTGCTTCTGGGTGAGGATGGCCCTCCTGGCTCCTTCCCACTGCCCAGGCCCAGTCAGGCGGTACTGGTAGGAGTTGCAGGGCCCGAAATAGAGTTTCAGCGCCAGCTTGGGGTCTTGGAAGAAAAGGGAGACCAAGTCTGGCTTCGCACCTATCTCTGAGGCCAGCTCGTCCAGGTAGTCGACGTAATTGGTCTGCAGTATCTGGCTCTGGCTGGTTCCAAACCTTAATGAAGAAGGGGAAAAGGACAGATTCACATGAGTTCCGGATCACACGGGAATACGCRGCATCCACTAGCTGCTGAAAGGATGGAGGGTGAGTGGAGGATGCATGTGCTTTGAATGAGTCTGGGTGGAAAGTGGGAGTTTATCCTGGGAGGAAACCCTTAGCTCAGACGGAGCTATACTCATAACTCAATAATCAAGAATCCCCGGGGACTCGGGGAAGCTGACAAGGGTGACTGGGACTCTCATTTAGTGTTTTTTGAGCAGTTGTGAGTCTCCAGGCAAGGATGTACCAGTCAGGGTTGCTGCAGAGTCATGCATGACACGTGTAAAAGCCAAGACGCTTGATATTTGCTTGTTAAGTTACTAATGTACCCAGAAGTCTGGCTGGCAGGTAGTAGATGCTCAATAAATGTTAGATAAGGAGATAACCCCTTAAATCAGACGTAAGACCCCCGAGRCAACTTTCCCAAGATACTCCATCATTGTTGAATCCCATTCCACCTCAACAAAAATGACTAATTCTTGGTTCGTCACACCAAAATCCTTTCCGGATTTATTTTGATGGGTACCCCCAACTAACTTTCAGGAGATCTTCAGGCTACTGTCACACCACTGCCCCATCCCATTCCCTCTCTAGCTGGGGTGTGGGTGGCCTGAGAAGATCTGGAATCTCACATACTCCGTCCTATAAAACTAAAACAAAATTACTCTAAGGAAAATGTTCTGATTTGGCAGAACTTCTAAGTAATTGGTTCTCAAAGCAGTATGTCCAACAATCTTCTAGGAAGAACAAAACTGCAAATTCCCAGTCTCATCCACAGAGCTTCTGATCTGGCTGGTCTGGGTTGCAACCCAGCAATACGCACTTTTCTCAGCTAGGTGGCTTTTGTGGGTGGTCAGATGGCCATACTTTGAGAAACACTGGCCTACGTAAACATTTTTTTAACACATGCTTACAGGTCAATCCTTCTTTCATTCCTTGTGACGATGTCCTCCATCATGGTCTTCTCTGTGGGCAAGCTGCACAAGCCTAGAAAGCAGAAGTTTGGTTTGAGTCATGGGCACGATTCGGCATCCTCGCTCTGTCTAGCAGTTGGTTCAAAAATCCGCTTCGGGCCATTTCATCAACCAGACAGGGCTGCTATGTGGCCGAACTCAGGGGCGGGGCTGCTGGGGCCTTCTGTGTGATGCTCTCCTGCCACACAGTCACCGTGGACCAAGGGGCAGAGGCTACGAGAAGAGATGGGGACGGTAAGCCCGTCTGAGGAGCTGGAACCCGGCCGAGGGGCATGGGCTCTGTTCTGGGGGAGAGAGGACACTGGGACCACATCAGACTTGCCTTTGGAAAGATCCATCTGGTGCCGTGTTGGGGGAAAAGGCTGAAGGGAGGTGAGCCTACAGGTTGAGAGACCAGGAAATGGCCACCAAACCCAGGCTGGTGAGAGATGAGAGTGGCCCCCACTAATGAAGGGCAGTGGGCAGGGAAGGTAGATCAGGGCACGACTCCTCACAGTGGGCTTGTGATTCACCCCCGTCCACAGGAGTCCTCTGAGCGTCACAGGTATTGAGAAACAGCCCTCTGACCCTCAGGTTCCGGAAGTCAGAACTGAGCTTGTCCTTGAAGCCCCCCTGTCCAGACTCGCATCCTCTCTGGCTGTCCGTCTGTTCCCAGCACTCTGTCCACCCAGGTTCCAGGGCTGGATTCTGCAAGCCCGCCTTGGTTCCTTCTCTCCCCCTGTTGAACCACCCTTCATCCTGCTGGTTTTATCCTGAGTGATTTCGCACATTCCTGTCCTCCTCTCTGCTTTGTGCTCTGGCCCAGGCACATTGTGTATTAGCAGAGACGATGGCAGGGGCCTTCTTGCTGGGCTGGGAGGCCCCATTCTCCCCCCTTTCTTTTCTCTATTCCGCACCTCTGCTGGAATAATCTACCTTAAGTGCAAATCTGCTGTTCCTTGCTTATACCTCTCCACTGTTGTCTCTGGCTGAAGAGCTTTCTAAGGCTTAATCGCAGGCCAGACTTAATCAGTAAGGGTCCAGAAGTGTCCAGCAGACAATTTTACGTGCAGCCAGATTTGGGAAGAACCAATTTACACTTTGCAATCCAGGACCCTCAGCATGGTGCAGTTTTGCTTCCTGTCCCCGTCACCTTTCCCAAGGTTGCTCCCATCCCTCTCCACCTCACCCATGTGCTCTGGGAATGCCGAGGAGCTTGCAGCTCGCCAGGTGCATGGACCTTTGTGCTTTCTCAGGTGGTTCCTTTTCTGCCCYAGAAATGCAGCCACCCAGGAAGTTGTCCTCGGCCGGATGCCCTCCCTTGTCCCACTCCATAGCTCTTGTGGGTTCCTATACCGAGGCATTTGCTGTACAGTGTTAAAAGGATTTGTTTAGGGCTGGGGATGTGGCTCAGGCAGTAGCGCGCTCGCCTGGCATGCCTGCGGCCAGGGTTCAATTCGCAGCACCACATACAAACAAAGATGTTGTGTCTGCCGAAAATTAAAAAATAAATAAAAATTCTCTCTCTCTCTCTCTCTCTTTAAAAAAAAAAAAAAGGATTTGTTTAGGGTTCTCTCTGTGCCCCCAGGTCCCAGCTCAGGTGTTCAGTGAGTTTTCTGTAGCACAGTTGAACCCCAGGGGCAGGGGGGAATCACCTGCCGAGGAGGGTGAGAGCTGCCCCCGTGCCCGGGAGAAGCCTTTAGTGGGCACCTCTGCAGGGCTGTAGGAGGGCAAACTGCCCACTCACCTTTGAAAACGCGTGTCGCCCAGCGTGCCTGCAGCTCAACGGTCGGGAAGATGGACCCCAGGGGCTGGATGAGACCTATGCACGCCAGGGTGGCCTTCTCCAGCTGCGGGGGGAACATGTGTTTATACAGCGAGACCCTGCCATCCTCCACCTTGACGAGGGACTCTTCCAGGAAGGGGAAAGCGAAGGTGTATCCTGTGGCGAAGACAATGACATCGATGTCCTCTTCTACCGTCTCATCCTCAAAAATGGCGGAGGTCTCGGTGAGCCCTGTCACCCTGGGTTTCACCTTGACAGCTCCGTAGAGGATGCGGCTCGGGAGGTCATCATTCAGGACGGGTTCCTTCAGGAGGTACCTGGGACACACAGGAGAAAACACTCAGGACGACCTTTCACGGAGCCACCTTGGGCCCCCTGGGCATTTGGGGTGGTAGCTCTGAAAACAAAGGGGTTTCTCAGGTATCCTCGACTCTAACCTGACTTCATTCTCAGTCCCCAAATCCCTCCCTTCAATAAAGAAAGGCAAGCAGGTAGGTGAAGAGAGTAAAAGAGAAGGCCCCCTCCCCGGGGCTTAGACACAAGCAGCACTCGGTCAATCCCGGGAGGGCTGGGCACCATATCCAATCGGTGCTTCTGAGTTTTTTGTTGTCAGCTTTATTTTGCCTTTTCATTTAATTCCCACCTGATCAGAAGTAAGGAAGAGAAAACTTCACTTAATTAGTAATGAAACCTGCTGGGGGATCCGTGTGAGAGTCAACATGTAAGATAGGTCTGGGGACATTGGTTGATCCTGAGTATCCATGGACTCTCTTTGTGGTAACCGGATGGTGGAGTGAACTATTTCTGGAGTTCTATTTTTTTCTTTATGTAGATCTGAGAACCATTTTCTTTCTTTCTTTTTTTTTTTTTTTTAAGTGCGACAGCATACACTTGTGTCAGGCCTCAGTACAGCAGTTGCCTGGTGTTTATTAAGATCTCTATATTTTTTTATTAAATGGAACTAGTCTCTCATCCACTAAAGAAAAATAAACACCCATAATGTTTGCTTGTGCTTATGATATCACTGATGTATATATCTGAGATCGACTAATATTTGTCTTTTGGTAAGGAGAAAGGAATATGTCCTCAAAAGCTACCAGTGGGAGAGTCCTTGGGGTGCACCACCCTGGCCGAGCTAATCAGAGGGGGAGCTATGTGCTTCCCCCAGCGTCCCTTGGAAAAAAGGCTGGGGTCTCTTGAAGTAGCCTTCTTCAGTGCTAGAAAGTTCTTCCCATAAGCCCCAATTCTGCTTTTGGAGCAGCGTCTGACACGCCTACRTAATCTTCTGCAACATATTTTTTAAGATACAGGGAACAAGTTTGGCGTTCTCACTGCAGAACCCGTATGCTGCACGTACTGTTAGGTTGTGGCTCAGACTACCTACCCTGCTAGCAACATGGATCTTTGTAAAGAGGGTCATCTTCAGACAACCTAGCTTACCGATGCACCAAATCATAGAAAAGCAAAATGACTCTACTTGTTTTGAGGCTGAAGACCATAGTTTTCGTGGTTGAACCACCGATTCATCTGTTGCTCCAACATCCATTTGACAATGGCCCGTGGCAGAACGTTCCGGAGCATGGAGCTGAATCTAGTGTGGAACACAGAGTCCCAAGGATAACCATCTTCAGAGATCCGGCTCAAGACCCAGGAGCCTTTTCTGGTGCTGATAAATACCTGGGAAATAAAAGGRGTGCAGTTTAAATGGAACACGGTACAGAGCACTGTACCCCTGGGAGGAATCTACTGGGTGGGTGATCTAATGCGTATGGCCCCAGAATTCCCTGGGAATCTCTCGTGAAGATCAAGTCTGTTGTGAGGGGACATTGCCTCAGAGTGAAGTCCTTCTAGTTTCACTGTCAGCTTTATCATCAATGGGGGACCCGTGGCTTCGACGCCCCCTGAGGACTGCGTGGACACATGAGAATATCTCTGGGTAATACCAGGTGTCAGGTCCACCATCTCTGCTGTGTCCACAGAGTGGTTTTCTGCTCCCAGTAGATGCACTCGCCTTGCCCACCCTCCCCCATTTCTTTCATGGTCCAGGTGAATGTTTACAACCCTTGGAAATGTGTGRCCACAGCCTGWTGACRGCACAGGCAAACGCGGGGTCTGCACCCCMCGGAGGGAGCGCAGTGAGGGGAACTGCCTTCCACACTGGGTTTTAAAGGTCGAAAACTCTGAACTGACACTGCGGTTCTGTTTTTCTTCAAGTACACCCTTGGGTTCCCTTTCAGATGTATTCTTTACCTTGTGTACCAGGATTTCCCTTGTTTTCAAAACGTGTACTTAAATCTCTTTTCAAATATAAGTGTTTTCCTTGCTGACGGTTACTCTCCCAATCTCCAAGTGCACGTTAGAACTGCTTGTCCCAGATTTTCACTTGTCCGTTTGAGTTCTATGGTTTAAGGCTGCCCTTTATAAATGATTCACTTAAGAAGTTAAGACYATGGACTCTGGATCCAGACTGCCTGGATTTGAATCCCAGACCCACTGCTTAGGCAGTTGTGTAGTCCTGAGTGAGTTATTTCAACCTCTCTGTGCCTCTGTGTCTCTCTCTCTAAAATGGGGGTATCATTCAGWTYAAACGAGGTGCTACRTGTTAAGTACTTCAGGTACKGCCTGGCRAGCCKTGAGYACTGCTGSCTGTTCCCATTTTGTAAATTCAGGCTGGAGGGGCTGGTTTCCTACAGTGASTCACGTCTGGACTGAGCTTGAATTTGGAGATACAGTTTGTGGCAAGGGCCTCAATCAGGCTGTGGGAGCACCCCCACAAAACACTGTTGGGCTGTGGGTCTCTGGGTGGTCCCGGCTTCAGTCTTGCTCCCAGGCTGACTTGGCRGGACTTTCCTTAGGTACGAGGCACTGTCCTTCAGTGTTTCCTTCACTTACCACCCCAGTTCTCCCTTGGGGTGGGTCCCTGATTCATACGGGATGTCCTGCCTCTTCTCTTTGCCCCTTCCTGCTGAGATCCTACCTACTGCCTGGGGTCGGAGCTGGCCGCCCCACCACTCCTGGAGCACATGCAGCTGGGGTCCGGCTCAGGCTGATCTCTCTGAGATGGGCTTCAGGATGGAGGGCAGAATTTTGGATTTAGAGGGAGTGCATGGATGACCAGCCCCATCCCACAGTGYCCTGAGGGGGCTTCTGGGCTCTGGCCGTGGGGCTGGATCCTGTGAACGTGACCTTCTTTTAGCAGAGCAGGGCTCCCTCAGGATCTTGGTCATTCAGCTGTAATTTCAGTTCTGCAGTTGCACCCGGTTCTGTCTCCTGTATGCACAGCTCTAGTAAGACCTCTGGTAAGTCTTCTCCCAGGAGATTTGAGAAGGCATTATTCTGAATAGAGGTTTCATAAGTACAGATTTATGTGATTAAYGAGTATTGAGGAGGCTGGGGAAAGAAGAATGAGCTATTAAGCTCACAAATATGGCCAAGGTGGTTTCTTAACATTGAATCTGGCATCACAAGCAGGCCTTGTGCATGGCATGACCCCAGTGAAGGACTGGCTCTTGCAGTCCAGGACTTGGTA